CCTAACTTCTTAATGTGGTGCTTGTTATGAAATTGGTATCTACTTTTTGCAAGGATATGAGAGAACTAATTCCTGTCCCACCAGAGCTGAAGTGTTAAGTGTTGGCTAGTAATACGATCCTTCAGAGAATGAGTGATCTATTTCATTTTATAAGCAACCTGCTGTACCAACTGTTACTTCTCATGTACTTGTGCTCTTCATGCTTTTAGTATGCTCCCTTATGATAGTGCAATCCACTGTCTGCAGAATATTTATCCTGAAGCTGGTCACTGCAGGTTCAGACCTGCGCCTTTGTATCTCTCAAATAGGTTTGATTAACTGTAATCCTTTGGGTAATTGTGCTTACGTTAAATCACGCTTGTATTGCAGGGCTTTGATATAGAAATTGACACTTTGTTGTTTGCTTGTTTGTTTTTTTTCTTTTGTCGTACATCTCTACCAGGTAATCTGGCCTTCAGAACAAAATGAGAAGGAAACTTGCTTGCTTGTTCTATGAAGCATTTTCTCAAAAAGGTTATCTAGTTTCCTGTTCTCAACAGTTCTGTAATGGTGCTGGGACTGCAGTTACCACAGCATTGTCCTGCTGCGTGGAGACACCAGATCTTGGGTTTACCTCACAGCTGTTGAAATAAATACAAGAACTGTGTATGGAAACAATCTCAAAATCAATATTCCCTTTTTTTAATGCTGTGTTAATCTATTAATATTGAGTCCTCTCAATATCGTTTTCTAAATTGCCCCAGAAAAAGAAAAGGAGGGGAAAAAAAAAAGCCCTGTAACAACTGATTGAAACAACTGATTGCTAATAGGCAGGGGGAATCTGGCCTGCAGCCCTTCATGTTAGCTGTGTGGTATAGAAGTTACGCAGATCTGACAGATCTGTTGAAGCTTAGCTGCAGCTCAATTTGCAATCGTATTGCCAGTGTGTAGTGCAAATGGAGGCATGACACAATGTGTGGTCATCTGAACCTAAAACTTGCTGTTGGATTAAATGTCAGAAGCATATTTATAGTTCTCCAGTCAGCTCCTTTGCTGTGCCTTCTGTGTAACTGTGCCTGGAAAAAAAAAAAAAAAAAAAAAAAAGAAAAAACAATAACAACCAGCACTATTATTTGTATCCTTATCTGTAGTTTCTTTTTCTGTCTGTCTGTCTCGTCTCTTGTAGGCAGCCATGCAGCATCAGGCATGGCAGACCTATAGAGGCTGCTTCCAGTACAATGCAGGCATGTTGTGCCCTTCCCTGTGGTGCAGTGCCAGCACTGGTCCTTCATTTTGCAGCACCAGACTTGCAGTGTGCACAGTCCTGCCCCAGCTGGCTTACAGTGCAAGGCACGGAACCAGGGTGTGCTTCATGTGAGCAGGTGTCACGTGGGACACGGTGAGCCGTGGCGTTACCTCATGTGGGACAACCTGCCAAGAAGATGGGTTTCATAGTAAGTCTGACTGCTTTGATCCCAGAGTTCCTCCAGTAATTTGTCACCAGAGCAGAGGACGAAGAAGGGTTTCTGTGGAAGAGCTGGGGATGAAGACTTGAAGGTTTTGATGGTTTCTACATAAAAGTCCTGAGAGTTCCAAATAGGTGTGCAGGCTGCTGCTGCCTCTGGCATGCCATGTTCTCTGGGAGCCATGCCTGGCCCAGATACATGCGTGTGCAAATCTCTGATCCCTGGGAAGAGGAGAAAGTGCTGCAGAAACCTGCATGGAAATCCACGTCAGCCAAGATTTGCTGGAGCCTCTTAATAGAACTCACAGAAGGGAAAACAAATTCCTTTTCCTCCTTTAACTAATATATCGTAGCCTGACAAGTTTTTGGTGCTCTGTCTACATGAAGAGTCCCTGGCCGCAATTGCCCCATGCCGCTTCATTCCTGCCTGCTGTGCTGGCTCAATTGTTTGTGCAGCTGTGCAGTCAGATGGTTCTGCTGGAGCCAGGGAAGGCTATAGATCTATAATCTGCAAATGGATTTATAAGATTTATACACTTATTTAACAGCAGCAGGCTGTTTTTCAACAGGATCGGTTGCCCTCCTTGCGACATGGTCTCCCTTGCAGCTCTGTGGCCTGCTGGGGAGCCAAGGCATGGGGCACACATGGCCTACGACGCCTGGCTTGTAGTGATTGCAGTGGGAAGAGACCGGCTGTGGGATGAAATGAGAGTGTGGTACAGCTCCTGTCTGCCTGCCACACCTTGGAGATGGTCACAGGGCACATCCTGCTGGGGAGAGAAATGTTAGGCCTTCATAACTGAAGGCTCGGGGGACACCTGTTAATGGCCTTCCTATACCTAAAAGGAGCTTGTAAGCAGGAAGGCAATCAACTTTCTGCATGGGTAGATAGTGCTAGGACAAGGGGAATGGTTTTAAACTAAAATCTAGGTTAGACATCAGGGAGAAATTTTTCACTTAGGGAGTGGTGAGGCACAGCTGTCCAGAGAGCTGTGGGTGCCCCATTGCTGGAGATGCTCAAGGGCAGGGTGATGCCCTGGGCAGCCAAGCTGATGGGGGGGGCAGCCCTGCCCACAGCAGGGGGTTGGAACTGGTTGGGCTTTGAGGTCCCTTCCAGTCTAAGCCATTCTGTGATTCTATGATTCCATTCTATGAACTACTCTCGGATTTTCTTGCTCAGGAAGAACTAATTAACTAACCTAATTGGGTTAGGTTAGGTAATGTATCATAGTAGTATACAGTGGTTGTGGTTCCATTAAGAGTATTTTAATAAAACTTCAAATTTGTTCTGTGGTTAGCTTTGTGAACGGTTTTAAAATCTGTTGTCAAGCAGTAATACTGACATCTAAAAACAGACTGCTCTGTCTGTCAGAAGCATAGGCATGGTTTCAAACTAAAAGAGGGCAGATTTACAGTGGATAGAAGAAAGAAGTTTTCTACAGTAAGGGTGTGAGGCACTGGCACAAGTTGCAATGAGAGGTGGTAGATGCCCCATCCCTGGAAACATTCAAGATCAGGCTGGATGGGGTTCTGAGATCCTGATGGAGCTGAGGGGGTCCCTGTTCATTGTAGAGGAGATGGACTAGGTGACCTTTAAAATTCCTTCCAACTCAGATGATTCTGTGAATCTATGGCTTTCATTAGCACTGAAACAATTGAGTAAACTACAGTGTTCAGGGTCAGGATTTGTTCCTGGCCATCACTGCAAAGCTGCTGGCATGTGGCAGGCTGTATGTGAAGATTTATCCTTGTTTCAAAGCTCCGAGGTTCCTAAAGTGAAACAGTGTAAGCCAGCCTGGTGGTGGAGTGGGAGTTGGTTCAATTTACAGTGAGATTTTAGCCTGGCTTCCAAGATAAATGAATTGTGCTGTCTTGCTGTCCCTACCCCTATAAACTGTGAGCCCCTTGGCCACTGTGAGGGGATTATAAAACTTGTGAGAGTTTCTATACAAATAAGTGCTTAGCACAGGAACGATGCTATTTGTGTTCCCTCTAATGGAAAGGATGCAAAGTTTGTTAGACTTGACAAAATTCATATGGGAGAAGCAGGTGTTCTGAATCCATGAGCTAGAGAAAGGCTGTGCTCAAAGCCTGCACCATATTGTGTGCTGAAGAGGGAAGTTGTAGGAACGAGGCTCGCTGATCGTGGAGCTGCTCGGTTTTGTCTTTTGTACTCCCAGCCCCACACTGTCAGGCAGCAGCAGCTCTTTCATGACTGAACGGAGACGCTTTGAGGAATGCAGCCCCGGAGCAGCCCTGCAGGAGGCTGGCGAGGCTGCATGGCGCAGGGAGCAGCCAGCCAGGCTCCATTTTGGATGCCGGGCTGTTGCTATTCTGAGTTGTGCTGCCCTGCTCACGCAGCTTAACTTCCCGCTGTGTTCCAGCTACTTAGATGGTTGCTCCTAGGCTTTTTTTAAACCAGCTGCTTTTGTGGCACGCTTCGTTTCTGTCAGGATTGCTCAGCAACAAAGCCACGTTCTGTTTTCTGGTGGGGAGCTGAAAATATCGTTCTGTAAGGATGTTAGCACCCAGTGACAGAAGGCAGTGGTCAGCTGCTGCAAACCCCGTGTGTGTGGCTGAGGAATTCCATGTCAAAACCTGAGGGCAGCTTGGGGCAGGTTTGGTTTCAAAGGAGGATGGAGAAGATAACTGAACTGCTTGTTTACTGATTGGAACACAGAACAGCCACCACAGTGCCTTCTCTGCTGCCTGTTAAATGCCTTTAACCACATGCCTTCATTGTAGTTCTCCAGCTGCTGCTGTTTGCTGTATTCCCATGAATTGCTTGCATCTAGGTGGAAACCATGTTGTTTGCAAAATGTAAAATAATGTAGCTTGAGTTGTAAATAAAATAACATAAGCTGGGTTTTTAGCAATGTTTCTCTGGTACCTTTGGCAGACAAACATTAGATCGATCAGGCTGAGGCTTGGCTCCTGTGAAGAAAGCTTGTCCCTGGCTTTCCTGCTGAGGTCTTGGTGGTTTACTGATTTTTACCATTTTGATGGGAGAGATGAGATGAGGGGAAGATACTGTTACAGCTTCCAGCTGAGCACGCCCGAGGCACAAAAAGAGTAAAGGAGATAAATAAATCACTCATTCCAGGAATGCTGGGGTTTTCTGGTTCACCTCATCTCATTACTACTAAAGTTGGTATTTGGAAAGGAACATGTCAAGCTTCTTGGGGACTTCTAAAGCCCTAGTAGAGCAAACCTCAGGTTTCTAGTCCACACTTGCTGTGCTTTCAAGCACTGATGAGGTGGGACTCCCATTGCAGCCTGCAGATGTTGTAGTTAATTGGCTGGAGGGATTATTGAGGGATGATGGTACGATGCATGATCTGATGCCTACAATCCTGCTGCTCAGTCCTCGTATTCCTGAATGAAGGTATTCTATCCTCATATTCTAGAAATGACATTGGTACGATGCTGCTTGCACCAGCCCTCCTTAAGTTGCTGCAGTGTATGGAAAGAAGAATCTTCACCATAATCTTTGTTTGCTGTTGCTTGGATGTTTTTAATTCTGTAGTAAAAGCACTGACTTAATATTTTCTTTCAGTCTCCAGAGGGTGCTGAAGGCAAGGATGCAGCAAAAGTAACTAAACAAGAGGCAAGTATATTTCCTTTTCAGTTTGTTTGTTTGTTTGTTTTAATTCATTAAGGCATGTGTTTATTTAACTGGAGATCTGCAGCCTTGCATATCAGAAGACCGCATGTTGCTCTGCCACTCTAGCAAGGTGATTTAAGGGAGTAAAGGCAGTTTGCTTAAAACTAGAAGTCAGCTGCATTTGTAGCTTATATAGTGTGAATTGGTTTTGGTGTGCTGAGGATTCATTCAGCTTAGTGATGCACAAAATAAATTTAGATCTTTTCTAGGCAAGCTTTGGTAAGGCAGCAGCATAGGATGTCACCGCATGGAACTGTGTGTCACTCTCTCCAGCAATCTGGCAAGTGGGGTTAATGCACACACCTCAGCCACACTACTTCCAGACTTGAGTGACTGATAAAAGGGTGTCTTGAGTTAAGATACTGTGCCCTGAACAGGAGCAGCTGATGCATTTATGTGCTTTCTTTGTCTGAATTTCTCTTAAGGGCACAGTAACTTCTGTCAGGAAAGGAAAGGAGACAGCAGGTGGCATATTGACCACTACAGTAAGCTGTGCTGGAGCTTGTCTGCCATGGGAATGTAAAAAGAGAGGCAGAGGGGAATGAGGATTTGTCATCTTTTGTAGCAGACCAAGTTAAATCAAGACCTTGAGAAGAATAGGTGAATATTCAAATGAATCAGTTCTTGTAAATATTTGGGCATACTCATACAGGAAAAAAAAGCCTGATGAAAGTTTACTTTTTGTGGTTTGCAAAATTGGTAGTTGGTCAGTTAGCAGGAAAAGACGGTGCCAGGAAGATGTCAAAATATTTCAAAAGATGGCAGCACTTTAAATGAGCTCCTGAGGAAAAAAAAATAGTTGAGACAAAAGGAGGCCTGGGAGGAGTTGATTTTTGGTATCCCAGTATCTTCCTTCAGAATTTCCTGTGGAACCAGTTAGTTGGTTTTTGCTTTGTGTGGTGGTTTTTTGTTTTTTGTTTTTTGGGTTTTTTTTGCAAAACATGGGAAGGCCAACCAAATCACGATAAAAATATAATCCTTTTTGCACCAAATTAGTGTTTTTCTCTGTACAGTTTCATATATAATTTCTTCAAGGGACAGAAAAGTTAAACATGTAGGATGAAACTTGGTCATAGATGGACATTGCTACGTGCTGTACTTGTCCTTAATATTTTTCTAGATCAATAGTATCAGTAACTACAGCTAAATTCCTTATAGACTGCTGAGTCATGCATAAATGGGAAGTATGTAGTATGAAAATTGTGCCAGGTATCTGACCACAATAATAAAAGTGGCAGTGGGTTGTTCAGGAAGACCAGAGAGGCTCTGAAGACAGAATTGGTGTTAATGGAGGCGTATGGTAACTGTTGAGTCACAGCTTGATCTACTGATGGAGCACCTGGAGAAAGGACTTGGTCAGCCCTGGGAGCACAGGTGAAGACAATTCAGCTGTGAGACCAGAAGGGGTGAAGCCTGGCTGCACCTCTCTTAGGCCTCATTTAAGGGCTGAGTGCCACGGTGGAAGGATCTCTGGTTAGAGATCCCTCCCTTGTGGAGTTTTCCTCTGTGAGCCTAGATCTTTGGAGATGGGTGAGCTTTCCTTTCCTGTTTGTTCTTTTGCCATTCCGCTCCTGTATTGCCTTTCCACTGTGCTAGTCTGTCTGATTGCAACAGGAGGTTTTGTTTACCCCTCAGATATTTGGTAACAGGCATAGGGTGGCATTGCAAAAACAAACAAACAAAACAACACAACAACAACAACCCGTAAAAAAAGAAAAAGTTAAAACTGTAAGTGCTTGCTGCCTGGAGGAACAAAACAAAGAGCCGATGATCAGCTCTTTCCAGTGCCTTCTGTGGGGTTGTAGGAATTAGTTGTCAGAAAGCTAACCTGTGATTGTTCTTTATCCTGGCAGGAATGTAAATCCAAGTAAACTCTACAAATTCATCAAGAAAAGGAATTTTATTAAAATTGGTAACCTGTTAAAAGGAGCAGCTAAAATGTTGAATGGTTTCAGGTGGCAGAGGAGCTACACGATACACCATACTAAAGGCTCAGAGAAACATATGCCATTTTTCAAAAACCGTCCCACCCATTGAAATGGCTGAATGGCAAAATGAAGGGAATGTGTTATATATTTTTTTAAAGGTGTTTTTGTAGAGATGGGAAATCATGAACTAACTCTCCAGCAGGCCAGTCAGAAGCTGAAATACGGTAATGAAGTTCTCACTGTGGAAGGCTCTTACAGAGGTTCTTGCAGTGGAGCCGTTTCCCACATAATATTTGGAGGATGTTGTTAAGGAGAGGGAGATGTAGGCAGGCCAGCTGTATTCACCAGCAGCCCAGCTATGGAGTTGCCAAACTGTTACGTGCAAGACATAATGTAGTGCTTGCATTGGCCCCAATACCAGGGTAACTGGAAGTGATGAAATGCTCCCAGTATTTTAGATAAGGGATTCTGGAAAACAAAGACTGTAAATCTGAATTGGGAAACTAGTAAATAAAAAAGTAGAATGAGTACATGTGGGTGAATGTATAATGGGAGAGTCGACGCAGGTTTTGCAGAGAGAAGTGCTACTTCATGTAGCTGAATTGTATACACAACAGGTGTATGAATGCTCTGTCAGTCAATGTGCCATCTTGCATGCAAAGAGCACGTTTGGATAAGGCTCCCCAAACAGGTTCTTAAAGGAAATGAGCTTGCGTGGGTTAAATGGAAGCCCTAAACAACCGATAGCAGATGAAGGTAGAAGAGAGGGAAGTAGTAGTTAATTTTCATAATGGAGGAGAATTATTGGTGGGATATTGAGGATGTTTGTATTTGGGCTTGTGTTGCTGAGTATATTCATTATGTGATTCTAGGAGAACAAGTGATGGAGAAATGACAAAGTTTGCTGAAGCTTATGAAAAATTATCAGGGTGGTCAGAAGTGAGGAAGTCTGAGAATTATGTTATCTCACTGATAACGTGGGATAAAATATGAGTCAAATTCAATGTGGAGAAATGCAAATTAAAACAGGGAAAGCTGTTAGTGAGTGTCACCAAATCAGCTATTGGGGAGATTGTAGAGTCACTCTTAATAGTTATTAGAAAATGCCCATTTTTTCTAGTCAAAAGGTAAATGGAATGTGGGGACAGTAATAGAGGACAGAGTGGGAAACGTATCACAGTGGGCACCCAAAGGGGAACTACCAAATGAAGTTCTCTTGGCTCTTCTTTAAAAAGGATAGAAGGAAAATCATATGAAGGATAGTGGCACGTAGAGAGGGGTGCAGAAAAAGCCTTCCAGTGGAATCCAGCAGACTCCAGATTCTTGACTTAGCATATGCCATGTGATAAAGTCATCAGTCACGCGGAGAAAGGCAGGGAATAACCCAGGAGCAGGAGGAATATAGTGAAGCTAAGTGGCAGCAAGCTTGAGAGAAAGGCAATGAGGGGAGGAGGTTTTTCTTTTCCACACAGCATATACTTGCCTTATGGAACACATTACCACAGAATGTTATGGAAACTGAGAGTGTAAATGAGTTCACTAGGTTATTAGACAAATGTATGAGGAAAAAAAAAGTCCCTTGGGGGCTGTTAAACACATAATGTGTATAAAATATCCAGGTTGGAAAGTCTGCAAGGTGGATTGCCAGAAGCTGAAGCAACAGGAAAGTACAAAGTGTTTTGTGTCTGCTCCATTTCATAGACAATTTCCATGGATGTTTGCTGGTGTCATATAGAGCGTGCTGGTTGTTTCTGTCCTGGTAGGACTGTTTGAAGGGGGAAATTCCAGAAGCACATTGCAATGTTGCCTTTGCTGACCTGACTGCAGTTACTTCCTTGTAGTCAGAAAGAATAACATATGTACTGACTGAATAGGAATTAAAATGACTTACTGGTCAGGCATTTTTAAGGAACTGGGGGGGGGGGTGTTGTGCTGAGTTCCTTGTGATGATACAAATCAGATATAAAGCCAATCATGAAACTGAAACAGTTGGGGTTATGCAAAGTGTTATAATTCATCTGAAGCAATATATTACCCTTGAACGATTAAATGCTAACATCACAATTCAGTGCCTAAACATTGAGGGATAGAAATAGTTGATTGTGAAAACTTATTTGTAGAAGGTACCTCGAGCTGGGAGTTCTTTGATTACCAGACCAATTGAAATGCTTTAACTTGTTCTCAGAATAGTGTTAGTTTGCTTAACTAGCAGTCAGTATTCTAAATTGCCAGGAAAAGAGAGGATTGCATTTTTTTTGTTAATGTTGCCTACATATTCAATGGCTGAAAATATTTCTAGGTGTTCTTTGATAAGACTTCTATTTTCTTGAACTCAGATCTGAACTTTTCACTACTACTTTCCATGAGGGATAATTAAATGGCTTCAATGAATACAAGTTACTGCATTCTTTGGATATTAACAACAGCTTTTTTTCTTTTCTGAGTTATGTGGAACTGTGGCTTTTTTTGTTTGTTTGTTTTCAGCTCAACTTAAATGCTTAGCATGTGATAAAAAAAAGTGGTTTTGATTTACTTTTTTCAGCTGTGTTATGCTGGATATTTGTTACAAGGGAATTGTCTCTATTTTCATTACAAATGAGATTCTAGTTTATGACATAGGCCAGACCTTAATGGTGTTTGCTAATCATGCCATGTAATTGGATTGTGGGTTCTTCATCTGTTTTAGTGAATACAAAATATACTGTTAGCAGACTACTTAGCTTACAAGCATTTCTAAGACCTATGTAATATTCAATAAACTTATGAGAAAGTTCAGAAGGAAGTAAAGTTTAGTAAGGAAGGTGATGATGAAAAGTAGAAGAAAGGTAATGTATTTGACTGACTTCTTTCCTTTTTGAAATTATATTTAAGTAAAGGAAATCATGTCTGCGGAGCTGCCCTGGTACGCCTGACTCTTGAATTGAGTGTGGGGGGCAGCTGTGGAAATGAGAGGCCCCTCAGTTTGATGTTTTGGAATTTTCTCACTTCCTTTAGGGAAGGATGTTATCTTTATCGCGCTGTTTATCAGATAGCGTTTCTTACTGGCTATTACAAATAAACAGATTAAAGGACCATCATTCTAAATATGTAAGAAATAGAAGTATTTTTTGAGAAAGGTTCAGTGTGCAGGTAGTCAAGCTTGCTGTATTTTTTGAACATTTCCTAGAGCAGCAGTGGACTCGGAAGTACTCGTGAAACAGGGAGAAAGTAGTGTTTTACCATATTGAGAGTAGACTTTGACATCAGTAATGAATTTTTTTTCACAAATTACAGTTTCCGCATCACTCAACCCTTAAAAATGTCCCTTCAAGATGAGGAAACCCTGAGTTGCAGTTAGCAATAGATACCTATTTTGGTAGGGAGTTATTTTGCACTGTCATCAAGAAACAACTGATAACTGTGTTGCTTTGAATACCCTTTGCTGTGTAAGTCTATAAAGATGCTTTCTCCTTTTTTTCCTTTCTGTAGCCCACGAGACGATCAGCAAGATTGTCAGCTGTAAGTATGTGTAACAGCCCTTGGTGTATGCTTTTCTAGGCACGTGTTTTCTCAGACAAAACAGGTTTGTTATATTTTGCTTGATTCCTTTTTTATTCTTGCTGAGGGGTATTTAAGAACTCTAGAGCTCAATATAATTTATTTTCTTAATTTCAGGAGGTTATTCTTCCCTGGCTCAGTGCAATGCTATCTGTTGCATGTGATGTTGACTTAGTACTATTTTGCAGGCTGATGTTAGCTGTAGAAGTGGAACTTCTCTGTGAAAGGGGAAGGACTGTCCTTTCAGGGTTTAGTTTGATGCTGCCACTAGTGTTTGGGTTTAGTTCCTTTCCTCTGTTGCAGTGTGTCTGATGGGCTTCTTAAAAATAGTTATTTGTAATCTCCACATTCAAGTTTGACTTAGAATGGCCCTCAAATTGCCTCCTCAATGAGTGAGCTAATGAAAATAGATGTGTGTACAATGATGAGGTACATTAATTTTTTCCATCTTTTTTTGGTGCATGGTAAGGAGTGGGACATAAGGGGGGAAGGTGAGGTGTGGGGAAGCTGCTGAGCGGAGGTTGGGTGGTTGCCTCCTGGTGATATATCTGATGCATTGTGCAACTAAAAATGTTTTTTAGAAACCTGCTCCACCAAAACCTGAACCCAAGCCAAGGAAAACCACTAAGGTAAATACTCTTCTTTTTAACTACCATCATTGTAGCCAATAATAAGCAAGTACACTCCCTCTTTGCATTGCAAACAGTTGAATTCACAGAGCATTTGCAAGAGGCATCAACTCGCCCGTCCTCCTCCCAGTTCTCCCCTCAAAAAAGAAAAAAACAAATTAGATCATTCTTTTCTTTTGGTTCCACCCCTTCCTGGCCTCATTACTGGCCTCAACAAAACGTCTTGCCTGTTTGATATGCAGACTATGTTAGTTTGTAGTGAATTCTTAGTTTAAGAAAAATCTTCACCTTTCCTATACCTTTCCTGAAATTTACAGGTTTGGTTTCTACAATAGGATTTGAGATTACTCTGTACTGTTCTGTTTTGCTGTCAAGAGGGGCAGTACTTCATTTCATAGTGAGACGCTGTTATCTCTTCTTGAAGCCTGACTATTGCTGAGAATGCACAATTATAATTAAAGGTGAAATTAAATACATTTAAATTGAATGGCTTGGGTTTTCTAGGCCAGTTACAGTCAAATTAAAATCTTATTAGTGTCTGAAATACCTTTTCAAGATTCTGCATGTAAATCATGTGCTTCAGAAACTGTAGATCTATTTGCGCCCGAGAGGAATGCTAAGTAAGAACAATTGCTTTATCATAAAGAAGCATACTGCTGGAAACTCAATCTGGCTCTCCTCACACTCACATTTTTCAAGTCCCTGCATTGGTATCTCAACTGGGGAAGTATCAGAATACGAAGTGAATGTGTAGAAGTAAAACTCCACAACTCTGAGCACATTGTAATTTATCACCTGAAAGTCTCTTGAGCTTCCCTCTTCTCGCTTTAATAGAGTATTAATAAAGAAGGGAATGCATAGGTTCTGTATCTTCCAGTGCATGCTGTGTGTGCGCTGAGCATGGTGGTACGGAGTCTGATGAGGCTGCATTAGAGAAATCTGAGATACATTTCAGGTGAATGGAGTCCTTTCTGCCATAATTCTGGGTAATGTTTTAATACGGTAGTCTGAATTTTTCTAAGTTGAAACTGGATCCCATTTTAAGGAATCTATTAATCTTAGTCTCCTTAACAAAAAAGCAGCAGATTTGTACTCTGAGCCTGCTAATAAGCAACCAAACATAATAAAGATTCAGGATTCCTTTTATTGTTCAAAGGTTGAATATTATGAATTTACTAAGTCCTCAGCTCGTTCCTTCATAGCTGAAGATTTAGAACTATGCTCACAGCACCAGTAAGCATCTCAGACAAGCATTACAGCTGCTGTGTGTCATTGAAGCTCGAGAGAGAACATAGTGGTTCAGGCTGCCCAGTAACTAGGATTAAGAACATCCCTTCTTGCCTGCCCCACTCTTCTACAGGGATCTTTGAGGAAAGATAGTCAGTGTTTGATTCAAAAATATCCCTGCTCCCAGCTACTGCTGCCATTTTGCACGGATAATCTGAAGAGAACGGTGCCATGGAAAACTTCCACAGCTTTTATCCAACTACTTCAAATCCCAATGTGAAGTATTAAACAAACTATCATTTAAATTTTTATCTCATTGCGCTTAAAATCCTTAATGTGTATCTTTATGTTCTCAGATCGCAAATGTAAATGCATACCTACAGCAAGGAATTAACAAATAAAGAGTTCTATGGTAGAATAGTTTACTGAAAGCATATCTCCAAATGAAAATAGCAGTCACCATCCCTGGAGGTGTTGAAGTGTTACATAGAAGAGGCAGTGGGGGACGTGGTTCAGTGGCACGGTGGGGATGGGTTGATGGTTGGAGTAAATGATCATTAAGGTCTTTTCCAACCTTAATGATTCTGTACTGTGATTCTGTGAAACTGTAGATAGTTCCTTTCAGTAAATTCTCTGCTTTGTGTTGTTGCAGATAGAATTTTATCAGTGCTTGCCTTCCTAATGTGTCGGTTGGTTCTCACATGGACATGAAATGAATATCACAGATGTTATCAGACTAACAAAAGGACAACCAACAAAAATGCTTGTTTTTTTTTTTTTTTTAAATCTTAAAAAAAAAAAATCTTTAAATTTTAAATAAAATTTATTATTTCATGTGAATCAAAAGCATAATGTTGTTACGCGTGCAGCATGGTGTTTGTGCTTGACTGAATAACAGTGGTATAGTTCCATATACCATCCTTGGATTTACTTATAGCTATACATACAGAGTATATATCAATATACATAGCTCCATGTATATAGCTCAACCAAAGCAGTATGAGGGTTTTTTGTGACCCTGTGAGTTATCAGAAGCAGTAAGGAAGCATGCATCAGCACATTTTTTCCAAAAAAAAATTTCAGGAATCTGTACAACTTTGGTGGTATAAATATTCCAGGTAGCTTTCATCTGGTTTTGTTTCAGTCCAGCACATGCAGGTTGCTAAAATTTGTTTCTTAGTTGGTAAGAATGATGTAGGTGAGCTGTCTACTCATGCAGTGTCTGTGCCCATATTTGTAATCTTCTGTCAGAAGGAACCTGGAACAAAGGCCAACAAAGGTGCTAAAGGGAAGAAGGATGAAAAGCAAGAAGCTGCAAAGGAAGGTACTACACCATCTGAAAATGGTGAAAATAAAGCTGAAGAGGTACTTTCCACACATACCTCCTGCTGATTGAATCAGTGCTTTTTTAATTATTCAGCCTTTCAGACATTGATAGCGTGTTCATAATGTTTCTTTTTATTGCCCATAATGTTACTGCAGATTCGCATCTCTCGCTCAACTGTTAGTGTTTCAACATCCAGAGGTGCCCCACCCTGCACACTGTCAGTAAAAGGGCAGATTGAAACAGTGAAAGTTAAGGGTACGGTAGAGCATTCTACTTGTGTGCAGTGAATAGGAACAGATAGTAGTGTGGTGCTTTTCAGTATGAACCATGGAAGCTGGCAGGTAAGGCTCACATTGCTTTTGAAAAGCTGGGTCCAACGCATTAAGAAGAGTGTGTGAATGTACCTGTTTTGTTTGTGTAAATATAATGTTGAGGTAGGTTTGAAACCGAGCTGTTACAAGTAAGAAATGGAAGGAGTAAAGATAGCGTGGGTGTTTATAGACATAATGGCAATTTACCATAGTAATTAATTCCTTTCTCTCTTCTCTGCAGGCTCAGAAAACTGAATCTGTAGGTGACAAGAATGAATGAAATATCATGAAAATTTGGGGTTGATTTTATGTACCTCTTGGACAACTTTTAAAAGATATTTTTATCAAGTATTTTGTAAATGCTAATTTTTTTAGGACTACGATAGTTGACATATTAAACTGTATATGAACATTTCCCTTCTCATAACAGTGCTTTTAGAAATTCCCGTTGTTGCCAAGTAATATAAATATCAACTTATTATTGCAAGGTATGTGTAAAATTGGATCGGCATTCCATACACTTGCTTTAAGAAATTAAGTCTTGTGCATATGGTGATGTTTTTACTGTGCGTATTTGAATTTTTCATGCAGTTTTTCTAGAGCAATAATCAGTGGTGCTTTTGTACTTAGGGTTTATGTGATTTTAATGAAACATGGATAGATGTGGCCACCTGCTGACTATTTTGGGTTCTTTTAATGGATTAAAATAAAAGGTCTCTTTGCCTGCAAAACTACAGCTTCCTAATGTTTTCTCTAAATCTGAGGAATGCCTTACTCATATTTTCAGCCATTAGAAGGAAGACTCAATGGTAGAGCAATGATAGTTTTGCATGCAATCTGTTTGATTTCTCTTTTTTCGCTCACGTCTGATTGGAAATAAAAAATACCCATGCAGGAATAGCAGGTTGGGATTCTCAGTGGCCCACAGCTTAAATGACTTGTAGTTATACGTTCTTCAGAAGCTGTCATAGGGTGAGTAGTGCTGACGTACTCCATCAGGATTTTGTGGCTATAATGAAGCATCAACACGGAGTGAATGCCTTGCTGCAGACGTACAGAAGCTGTTAAAAGGAGCTTTGTTTGTGCTCCATGCCCTTTCTGCTAACCGGAGAAGACTTGCATCATATTCTGTGGAAACCCTTCTTTCTACCTGCAGCCTCAAATCTTCATACAAAGTTGCTGTTCTGCTTCAGCTGAGGACAGTTGATAATACATTGAAATCGCTGTTAAACAGCGCTGTACACTTGGTACCTGGTAGAAATGGAACAATGAACGTTATTTTTGAGGTGGTTGTGGTGTGATACAGTGGAGTAGCTGTAGAGTAGATGTTTTTTTGTGGGTTTTTTTTTTTTTTTTTTTTTTTTTTTTTTGTATCCATCTTTCAACTCTGCAGCTCATTCTAAGCGCCTTTTATAATTTTTCTCCTCTTTTCTCTAGGGGCCCTGGTATTTCTATTGTAACTTCTGGGATGGGCGGGGTGAGAGAAAAGATGTTCCCTGTTCTCCAGTGATATTGATTTGTATTGCTCAAGTGGTGGCCATTATGTCTGAGGATACTTCTTGCTTGTTTAAGTCAATAAATAAATGACTGTTGCTTGACCTAGTGTTCCATTTATTCTTTGGGAAGAAATCTTCAGGTGCTATTTCTAATTGAACAGAAAAAAAAAAAAAGCCAAATGTGTCTGTACTTAAAAATTTAAGACTGAATGTAAAAGCAAATAGCATTGCTGTGTGCTAGGTAGTGTAGTAAGGACTGCTGTCGAGACAAGTGTCAGTGCTGCTCTTATGGTAGGCTTGCCACAGCCAAACAAGAGGATTCTATTCTCTGCACCGTGGGCGTAATTTTGGAAGAAATTTTTAAGTCGCTGGTTTTGGTGACGGAAGGTAGAAGGCTGTAACGAAACTTGTAGCCTCATGAGAAGGAAAGTACATCTTTTTGTTTTTTTCACTGATATGTACTGAGCAGTCCTGTGCAATACTCTCTGATTGTACCTGTGGAAAAGTTCATGTGGACGCGATAGTTGTGGGATGTTGTGTCTGAACTTTTCCCACAGAATCACCAAGGTGATTTTTATAAGCATTTACCAATTCAGGGCTTTATCATTTCCGTGGGGAGGAGTCTTTATGCTCCTGTAGTCTTTTTGTAGGTAGCTGGGAGAAGCTCAAACTTGCCTAGACAGGGAGGTCTTGCAGTGGTGATTCACAACAGAAATGCAACACAGGCGTTCTCTTAAGGGAGCTCCTTTTACCAAATCTCCAGCAGAGAGAAGTAGGGTCCTTTGGTTAATTGGGCAGAATCCAAGCCTAACGGTTTGGGTGCAGAATTCCCTTGTCAGCTTGACCAGATTAGTTGCTGCAGTTCAGAGCTAGAGTTGTGGTAGAAACACTCAACAACAGCAAATCAACTTGGCTGAGGTTTAATGAAACACACTGTCCTGCTGATTCGAGTAATATTTTTAATTTTTTTTTTCAGAAGTGCTTTGTGAATGTGGTGTTTTGTGATGTTTTTCATCTATGTGTCAAGTTCTCAGAGAGGCAGGAAACATTGCAAAGAACTGTATCAAGTTGTAGAATGCTTTTTTTAATTATTATTATTTTTAATTAAATTAGATGGTACCTTCAAACATATGTAGCTAAGATGTTCTGTGGACATCTGGTGATCTACAGAGCCCACATTTGAGTTTTGAAGTGTTACTTGAAAGTGCCAGATGCCACATCTCAGCCGTGAGAAAACTCGCATCAGCAGTATTTAATGATTGGTTGCTCTGCGCTTATGCACAGGGTTTGGAAGAATTCTCAACTGTGTGACCTTTCTGAGAAGTAATGGATGGGTACTTTAGGGTACTGACAACCATTTTATTGCTTTTGTTTTAATTGGGATTGTTTTCAAATTTAAAAAAGCAGGTATGTCAGAAGCAAGACTGAATGATCAGAAAGTATCGGCGTTCCGTTGTTAAAGATCCTCCTTCCTTCCCTGAGCTTTATTTGATTTCTCCTGGCTGTTACTTTCTGCTGCTTCCATGTCCTTGGGTGACCTTGGGCTAATTGCATGTAGCAGCAAAAGCTGCTCTTGATATTTTGACCTTTGAGATAGCAAATGCAGCATTTCGGGAACGGTGAACTGCAGCAGAAACCCAAACATTTAAGGGGGTGCTAATGGAAAATTAATGCTTCTTTAGAGCAGAGAAAATTAAGGGAGAGGGAGAAAGAATAGCAAGAAAATAGATTACTAGGGAACTTAAGGGATATGCCTGTTCTCATATTTGAATAAATAGAAAGAACAAATGTGTGTCAGAGTAAAAGTTCTAGTGGGAGATACAAATATATATATATATATATATATATATATGCTTCCTTCAGGAGAACGAAGAAAAGACCCTTGAGAGTGAACATGGCATGATTTTAAGTTGGTGTTACATTCCTAATAAACCTGAAGTGCCACAATCTTCATTACATTTCTTACACAATTAAGCAGAAATGTTTATAACCTGAAAAGAATTATACAGCTGAGAAACAAGTGGCCATTCTGTGTTCTGTAAAGAGAAGGTGTCATCTAATGAGTGAGGGAAAAGTAATCTGGAATGTGGAGTGTACGTCTCTTTGGAACAGATTGCTTTTGATCTGGCAGCTCCTTAGATCGTTGTTTTCACTTAAATCATTGTATGTGAGACACTGCTGGGCAGCAGATTGGGATTTGATGTAAAGCTTGGCCCCCATTTTAATTTATGTGAAATGAGTCAGTAAACTTCTACATTTGTATGGAAGTGTAAAAAGATAGAAGGGACTGTCTGTAAAAGAGCTGGGCAGCAAGAGCTCCATCATCCTGCTGACTTAAGGATCATTGTTCCCTTATTTGTGGGAAACTCCCAGTGCAATACTTGTACCAGTGGTTAAACTATTGCAAACATAATGGTCAGGAGTAGCATTAGAATGCAATAAACAGACGGTTTGCAGTATTTACAAACTGTGAACTTGCTATAAAACTGTTGGTTTGTGGATTATGACCCACAAATTGCCTTTTTTAAGGCCCAATTGTAAATTTATAGGAAAATGAAATCATTAATGTCTTTCCTAAAGAAAACGGGCAAGATGAGGGATAAGCCATTTTCCTAGGTTACTCTGTTTGTCATGTGCTGAAGCATTAGCAACAAAGTAGTTCACACATAAGAAGCAGACTGTCAAGTGTTTGACTAGTATAGCAAAATAGTATTTTATTGTAACACCTTCTGGGATAGTTCTGGTGCAAAGTGACATAACTAACACTGCTAATCTGTCTATTGATACTAATCGTTCTCCTACCATCCCTAATATGGATTGAAACGAGTATTTTTTTATCTGCTGAGATAAGGACGAAGTTAGTAATGTAAATTGATGTCTGGGCAACAAATTGAGTGCATGGGCCTGCTGTGTTTGCCTTTACCACTGAATTTGTTACAGTGGTATAACTTGTAGGAATTGTTTTATTGCTGTTTTGACTCATTCGGAAACAAATTTCAGACTTATAAAATTTCAGGCCTATAAAAATGAATTTGTTTTGGAAGATTTCAGGTGCTAAGCTGCCTGGCATGAGTCTTACTCTAATACTGAATAATTTAATGTGAAGCGATAAAACTTTTAAAGTGACAAGATAAGAGTGGATGTAATGACCTTGTCCAGGTCTTCCATCCATTTCCAAAATCAACAGAAATGCTGCTGTGGTTCCTCATGAATAACGGTTTTCGAACAAGAACTTCTGCCTTACATAGGACAGCTGGAAGGCCATTCTTCTAGGACAGGTTTTCTTAGAGGCATTGGAATGCAATATTGCAGTGATCTAATGGCTTAAACCAAGCCCTTCTCATTTCTGATAATTTTCTATAACGGAAAAAGATGGAAGAAGATTTGAGCTCTTACAGGAAGATGAAGGGATTCATAACCCTAGAGATGTGAACATGTAAATAGTACCTGAATTAACCAACAAGAAGAAAGGAGCAATGGGTCTAGAGAACTTGTCATTATTTACAGTCACTTCACGGACATCTATTGTGCCCAGGAGGGAGAAGCTGGGGATCTCCCAGGGTCAGGTGGCAAGAAAACTCCCTCCTGGCTGCAGGTGGGGGAGGAGAGGTGTGAATGCCCTGCAGGGACCAGCTGCAAAATGAACGACAAGAAAAGAAAAGGGTGACTCTGCAATCTGGGTTTGTAGTTGTGGAGGAAGAGATCTCATGCAACACAAGAGAAACTGATTTTTTTTAGG